CTTGTATATTGATGATGATTATTAAGGATATCTAGAAGAACTCTAAGATATACCTACTTGACCAATTCATATTTCGGGTTAAAACGTACGTACGGGATCCAGACCGGATATCACCCACTCGACAAATCATTGTTCAGTTGGTACGTAATCCACATGACCCATAGGGTGGATTTTCGATTCTTGTGTTCTGCATTAAACTATTTATAGTTTAAGGGTCTGGTTAGAAATGTTGCCTTAGACTAGGATTAGCTAAGAGCTTGTTATAAAATGATTTGGCCTTAGATTAAGAATAATTTAAGAGCATGGTTGAGATATTGAATATCAAATGACTTGGAATAAAATAGTGAGAATATCATGAACGTTTGAATTATATATTGGGTGCATGATATCAAATGGTTGATTATGAATTGAGATTCAATTTATTTGAATGTTCGACGCTTTAGATATGCTTACTCAGCTTCACCGCTGAGCGTGTAGTGTGTTTTATTTGCTACACGCAGGTAGGAAGAATGAATGATTGGCTGATTCCTGACAGCAGAAGGGCGAGACAGTTGTGGTGGATCATTGAACAAAATAAATAATTATGTTGTTATGAGACATGTTTAAAAGTCGCTTCCGCATTATTATTAAACACTCCGTATTTTCTACAATTATGTATGGAATATTATTTATAAATAAAAATGTTTGAAATGTTTTAAATTATCACGATTACCAAATCAATACTTTAGTCCGAAAGGGGCTGCAGACCTGGACGGATTAGGGTGTTACAAATACACTCTCTTTACTATATTAATAAAATTTGATTTTCAGTTTTCAAAGATTAAAAAAGTTTTGATATTGAAAAAATGTTTAATATTTCAAAAAAATGTTTAAATATATCAATGATTAGCTATTGTCAATTATTTTCTTATTTTAATTTTTTATGTATATATGAATTGTAAATACTTTAATACTATTAAATTGTTGTAATAATTTGAAGTTTAATTTAAATCAAATTTAGATTCATTAACACCAGATCTAATTAGATAAAATCAAATCCAGCCAGACCAGATCATTAATCAGATCAGAACTTTAAAAATTCAGGTTAGATTAGGCATACGGATCACAGTCTTAATCCTCAACCACTTTTCATTTGTATTGCATGTTACCATAATAAATTTGATGAAAATAACTTTTATATTAATATAAGTTACTTCCTCAATCCAACAATAATGTTCTCATTCACTATTCAAAGGGTCAATCTTTATTTACTTTATTGATGTATTTATGTTGCTCATTTGATAAAATAATATCGTCATGTGACCTCTAGTTTTGTTGATCTTTTCATGTAGTTTTTAAATATCTAATTTGAGTGTGTTTTCGGTGCACTTTGGGTGCATATCATTTTTTTGTGGACCTTCTTGCATAAATTTTTTTTTATTTTTTTATTTTAAAAAATAAATACTTATTTAAGTAATAAAGAAATGCTTATTTTGCTCATATGTAACACATTTTTGGAACATGATATGTTATGGCTGAATTCCGTTCACCCAATCTAATTTTTTGAAGATCTTATCTGATTTAATCTAATCTAATTGTAATTGTATTTAAAACTTTTTCTGACATTATCTAGTCTAATTTGATTTTAATAAGAATAAATAATAAAAAAATGTAAATAAATTAAATAACAAGATGGGATTGTTAATTTAACGATAATAACATATGATTAATTTTCTATTTTCGACTGAGGTTTATAATCATCAAGGCAAAGAGTCATTACAACATATAATACACGGTTAGACCACGAGAACCCGACCCGATTTCGAGCAATTAATTGAACAAAACACCTTCAATTTTTATCCAAAGTAGTCATGGACCATCATCTGATGACTTCCAAGTTGTTGGTGGTGTGGGTGCAATTGTTTTTGTGTCGCCCCGTCAGCACTCTGCCTCAACCCCAATGTCAGCGAAACCGACCCGAGGTTGCCTTGTTGGTAAGGCACAACGCCCATGAGCATGGGCCCATCCATGCCAGGAGGAAGATGGGGGCAATTGTTGTGGTCGTTGGTCCTAAACTGGTTTCCACCAATGTAGGACGTTGTTGCCCCCATCCCTGGGGCTCCGCTCATGGTGTGGGGCCCGATTGTTGGGTACGGGGCAGTTTTAGGGTGGTTTGCGTTGTCTTCGCCCGCTTTTGAGCCCTTTTGTGCTGCCATTGCTTTCGTCTCAAGCATGTGTATTTCTTCCACCATTGGCTTCCACACTCGGACCCGGGCATTGATGAACCAATTGGAAACCTGAACCAACCAAATCATCCATTGGATATGTTCAGACATCTTACGAAATGTTACTCTCTCTCTCTCTCTCAAAATTAATGTTCATTTTCTAAAATATTATAAAATGTAAATGAAGATAAATCCACAAAAAAAAAACCAAAATTAGTTTAGCTTTAATTGATGCCAATAATGGATGGTTTATGGTACATAAACAATTTGGATCCTCTTGGTTCCCATGACATTGGGAATCTGTGTCATGGGATGACCCGAGGATGCTCCAATGCTCCGTTCGTAAAATTGACGGTTCCTACCCCTTAACCCCTGATGAACCCCCACTGCGCCCCGACCCGAACACACCCTTCCACCCCCCTTCAATTGCACGTCCAAATTAATTTTGAACAAATTTTAAAAATCGAGCAAGGGGCATATTATAACAAGAGTTAAATTATTAGGGTTCTTGCCTGGTTTCGAGATAGGCCTGTTTGGGTGGCCAGCATATGCTTGTCCGTGTCCGTTGGATACCTATACAAATAAATGAATAATAATCAGGCTTTAAGGTCTAAACAATCAGAACGTAAGAAAAGTGACAATAATAAAGTCCCGTTTGGATTTCACTTTGACAAATTAACGCCAAAAGGGCCTTTTGAACTCTCACAAGTCACAACTGTTTTTTGACATTTAAAAAATAATTTAAAAAAAATCTTCTTTTTTATAAAAAAAATTGAATTAATAAAATAATGTGATTTTGAAAAGAAAAAAAAAACACAACTTCTTTGGCTGCTTTTAAATTTTCAAACAACTTTAACTTTACCTCACTGATCGAACAGATTTTTGAAACGAAAAAATCCAAACACATCTTGTCATTGACTAACTTTTACTGAACCATTTAATCGTAATGTGTTTTTCTTTTTCTTTTCCTGGAAATATCTATAGTAACAATATGTGTTTATGAAGAATGAAAATAATGAGAATATGGGATTTAAATAAAATAAGAGAATTGAAGATAAAAGAAAATAGGGTAGAATGGGAAATCAACACTATTTTAATCTTCTCATTACTTCACAATAAAACCTAAAACGTTTGTGGAAAAGCTCACTGTTCATTAGTGATATCTCAAAGTTACTTTTGGACTTTGACTTTCATGGTCAAGAATGCAACAATTCAACCAAGAATATTCATTTATATATCTAAATAAATATGATAAACACATGATATTCTAAAACTATATTCCAAAAAATGAAATAATATAATACCAAATTTTGGTAAACCTAAAGTATTTTTAATGCAAATTCCATGACGGATGAAGTACTATTTAACGATGTAATGAAAAAAAACTTTGTTAAGGATATTCATTCATAATGCATGTAACATCTTTATATTTAAGTCAAATATTTTTAAAAAGACAAAATGAGAGGAATGAAAGGGATCGGAGACTCACGGATGAAGGAAATGATCAAACAACCAGGCTCTAAGAACCGAAACAGCACGCTCGGGAAGGCCACGCTGGGGCCTCCAAACGTGGGGTTGGTGATCCAAGAACCCCATGCTGCTGCCGCCGTGCTTGTCAACACCATGGTCAACCAGTTTCAAGCTTGAGCTAGCTCTATCTCCTTTGCCTTTCCCAATGGAGGATAATAACCTGTCCTCTCCCATAGCTTTGCACGTGTTCTTGAGCTGATATGAGATGGCATTGTGAAGGGAACTGAAACTCCTCGCGGTTGCCTTGAGAGCCAAGAAGATGTATGGCGTCGCGGCACTAAGCCCCGCCACTGATTCGAAGGATGACACTACCATCTGCATTTGCTGTCGATATTGGCTGTACTTTCTGCAAACCTTTCAAAGAGAAATTCACAATGATGAAGTTCAGATGCCAATTTCATAATCAAATCAAGGGAAAGTTAGTGGGAAACATCAAACTCATACTATTAGTCTTAGGTTGTTAAAAAGCACATGATTTTGTGGATGTCATTATGCAGTTAGTTGGACATTAAGGTATGCTTATGGCATAATTAAGGCTTATATACATTACAGCCAGAAAAAATAAGCTTTAATTACATCAGTGAAGTTTGCTTTTGAAAAGAGATTAGACAAACAGTGTTTGACCTAACCCTAGATTCTTTGTATCAGAAGTTCAGTGCAAAGATATGAAACTTGATTTACTGATAAAGAGCAAATTGGAAGCAGATGATTAAGAAATAAAGTTGTGGACTTGTTACTCCATTATTTAATCTCTTTCTGAATAAGGAGTATAAGTTCAGCCTTTCAGCTTTAGCACAGAAATCAAGAAAGGCATAAGAAGTAAACTCATCAATCATGTTAAAGATAGAATCTTTTTAACTTAATCTTCTAAAGAAGAGTTAAGAAAAAAGGGTAAAATACTACTGTAACAGATTAAATCAAAGAAATTCAATGCAAAAAAAAAACAATCAACCAACCTCTTCCTGCATATGTAACAACTTGACTCTTGTTTGCTGATTTTCAGATCTTTGGTGGTATTCAGTTGAGCTTCCCATACAATATGTGTTAGCTGCATTGACAACAACATCACTAGATAGATTCACTTCATCCCACACCTTCTCAGAATGCTCCGAGATTCTTGTTATCAGTCCCATATGGCCTGAATAACTGCAGAGCTCGTCAAGCAGCTGTTGTGCCGGTTTAAGAAATCTTGAACTTCTTAGAATTGTAGCATAACCGGTAAAAGGACCAAAAGGCACAACACACCTAGGATTCATCCTGGAAGGTGAAACCGAGGAAAGCGACAGAGATAATGCTTGGGTGTTTGGGATGTGAGGCCCATTAGTGGGTTTTGGCTCCCCTTCGAATTCACCATTCCATCGATGAGAGTCTCCATTGTTATTATTAACTTCTTGAACAGAAGAAGAAGAACTTCGATAATGAGCCGAAGTGCTGGTGAACTCATGTTGCATATCCTCAAACTGTTTGTGTGTGTATTGCCCATGAATTTCATTAGATTGATTGTTAGCCAAAGATGGGGCGTTATTCGGACTCAAAACCCCGGGATAGCTTCCCCCAACAAACATATGGCTCTGAATGTTAGGGTTAGCAACATTCCAAGAGCCACAATTTTGTGTAGAGCTTATAAAGAAAGCATTGTTATCCATTCTTGAAGAAGAAGATCCAGACAGTTCTTGATTCACGTTCATAACATCATTCCTGTGTGATACCAACAATGGCGAAATTGAGCTGAAATTCAGCATTTCGGAGGGTTCGAACGAAATGTTTCCATACCGGTGACAGCTGGGGAGCTGGGCAAGATCCATGGTGCTTTCCAAGTTGCAATTAGGATAGTCCCCTAAGTATTGCAGGACATGCAAATCTGGTCTATGGGTTCTTGTTTCCATCTTCTGATCAATCACAATCTTCCAAATACATGCCTACATGGAACAAACTCAAACCCTATCAGGAACTTGACCAAAACCCCCACAAGAGAAATGTAGAAAAGTCAAAAAAAATAAAAAAAAAATTGCAAACTTATTTTTCTTAAATCAGTGCTAAATCAAGAAACCCATTTACACGTGAGAGGAATTTTTTTAAAAAAAGAAATACTAAAAAAATAAGCCCAGGAACCGAGAAGAAACGACAAGATCATAAAGTTGATAAAAAAGGAATCTTTTTTTTTCATTTTTTGTCAATTCATTTGCAGTGGATAGTTTGTTTTGAGCTCCGTAGACTGGAAAAGTAAGAGGGAAAGACAGATTAGAAAGAAGCAGAGATTTCAGCAAGAAAGAAATTCAAAGCCAACTAGCTAGTATAACACCAAAAAAAGATTCATTTGCACAGAAAGTTTTAAGCCAATAAAAACAAGCAATCAGGAGAGCTCCCCTTAGCTTCCTTCTGGACATAACCCAAACCCCAGATTGAATTATTTCAAACAAATAAATAATTAAATAAACAATCACCCGGATTAGAGGCTGGTCTCAACTCAAACTGAAAACCCTAAATTCTTTCCCGTCGTTAAAGCCCCTTCTTCCAGCCAAAAGCTAGCAAAACACCAGAAAGACCCAAACGAATGAAAACCCACCACTTATAAACAGCAAATTAAACTGCCCATAAGGAAAACAGACTTAATTTCTAGCAACTCAAATAGCAGATCAGACAGATCTTGGAGTGGAATTTATGGGGTGAAGAAGAAGAAGAAGAAGAAAAGGGAGGGGATGTTGAGTGGGGGGAGCAGTGGATGGATGAATGGTGATTAGCTAGCTGGAAGAACATTGAGTGGGGAAATGGCGCAGTGGTGGTAGTAGTAGTAGTGTGACAATGATTGTAAAATGGCGCAGAGTGGGTGAGGAAGAAAGAAAGAAACCCGGCCGGCCAGGCCAGGCCAGTCTGTGTGGGCGTATATAGACTTACGTATAATTAGTAGTAGTAGTAATAATGTACAGTATGGATGTGTAGTAAAATTAAAATGATGACACTGTGCGTGTGAATTTTAGCATGCACACATAACTATGCAAGGTGCATTGCGTTAAATGACACACCATCCCCATCCGGATTCCGGTCCGGTTCCCTATAAAATTTACCCTTTTCAAAAACTTTTAACACTTATTTTAGGAACCAGGAGGATTTGCGTTATTAGAAGTTCCATAAAAATTATTTTCAAATCATTTTATATGAAAAATAGTGTGAAATTAAAAAATAAAAATTACACATTTAAAAACAGGAAAAATTGATATAACTAAATACTCCCAGAAATTTGAAATTTTACAATAATACTCCCAAAATTAATTAAAGACTCTGGTGCTCCCAATTAAATTATAGGTTTACGTCACTAATCCCATTAAGCCTTATCAGCTTTTCCTACGCTTACATAGTTACATGTAATTAATTAATCTAAGTTGGCATCTTAGTTGTTTTTTTGTTTTCATAAGAGGAAAAATTTATATATATACACATAGTAATTCAAAATTTTACAATAATACTCCCAAAATCAAATAAAGACTCCAGTTCTCCCAAAAGTATATTCTCATTGCACGTTACGATATTTGACTGAAATTATTTTTAAAGTATTTTATATGAAAAAAGGTGTGAAATTAAAAAATAAAAATTACATATTAAAAAACTAATATAGTAATATGTAAAAATAATTTTTTTAGTAATATTACAGATTAATTAATTGAGCTTAATTGGCATCGTAGCTATTTTTTTATATTTTAATACAAAATACCCCCTTCGTCCAAAAATTATTTTCTCATTCACTATTAAGAGTATTAACAAGATCAAATTTTATTTACTTTGCTTACTTATTTTAAATCTTATGATGTAGTTTTTAGATATATAATTTTATTTTTTGGTTTCACACCACTTTTATGAAACATCGTAACACGTAAAAGGAAAATATTTGTTAGAGTACTGGAGTCTTTATTTGGTTTTGAGAGTATTATTGTAAAATTTTGAATTTCAGGAAGTATTTATATAATTTTTTCCTTTTGTTAAAACAAAAAAACAACTAAGATGTCAACTAAGCATAATTACTTACATGTAAGCATAGGAAAAACTGATTAGGCATAATGGGAGTAGTGATGTAAACTTATAGTTTAATTGGGAGCACTAGAATCTTTTATTAAATTTGGGAGTATTATTGTAAACTTTCAAATTTCTGAGAGTATTTATATCAATTTTTCCTTAAAAACTACATGAAAAGATATACAAAATTAGAGGTGACATGACTATATTATTTTATCAAACAAGACACAAAAATAGGCTAACAAAAGGAATAAAGTTTGACCCTGTGAATAGTGAACGAGAACTTTATTGTTGGACGGAAGGATTATAAATTTTCTCATAAATTTTCTGTGGACTCGTAATCTAGATAATTTGTACGGAGTATCTTTCTCTTTTCAAGACCCGATGCATGTGAATATTTACTTTATGTATTAAGATTCATAAAATGAATATTCAGAAAAGGAGAACAAATTTACCTTAGCTTATTCTCGTGTGTATAACTAGAGTTTGAAAATGTTCACTTGGTGGTTATACCTGTAACACCGACCGGCGTTATTGCCATTTTCACGCCCAGGGGGCAGTAAACACCGCCCCCTGGGCTTCACCGCAACGTCACAGNTAACCCCCCCCCCCCCCCTAACGGCTATTATAGCCATTGAAAGCAAAAAAAAATATTTAATTATTTTTTTATAAATTTCAAACTACCCCCTCCCATTCTCACATCTTCAATCTTCTTCAATCTTCTTCACATATTCTTCAAATCTTCAATTCTCCAACTCTCTTTTGAACATGAATCATTCCGGCTCCGGCTTCTTCCCCGACAATCTTGAGCCTCACGAGCATGCGATGTGGTATTTCACCCAATGCGGGAATCATCCGTCGATGTTCGAGACGCAACAATCGAGGTACGTTGAGCGAGAGTCGATTCCGGAGACTCAACTGGGACCATCCGGCACCAAAAAAAGTGCACGCCGAAAGAGCCACGAAGCGAAAGGCACGATGACCGAGGCGGCACGGTCAATCCAAAAGTGGACGCCGAAGGAAGAGTGCTTATTGGCGTCGGCTTGGGTTGATGTCTCCGAGCATCCTATCGTTGGTAAAAATTATATGTTTCTAATATATTTATGTTTTTATTTATATAAAATTATTTATAATCGTGTTATAAAAAAATTTCGTGTTATACTTTTTTAAAGGTTCGGAGCAAACGAAGGATGCGACGTGGGATCGTATCGAGGAAAAGTTCTTCACGACGATGAACAAGGACAACTCCTACCGTACCCGGGTCCAACTCACTTCCAAATGGAGCCACATCAACCAAAAAGTCCGAAAGTTTATCGAGTTTACGAGGAATGCGCCCAATCCTAGAGGAGTGGGACGAACGACACCGATGTTCTCCGGCTTGTCACGACCCGGTATCAAGATGACGTGCACCAAGGCAAGGTGCCCATCGATCTTTGGAGGATTTTGAGCCGTTCCCCGAAGTGGAAACAACTCAACAATCCCGATGGCGGATTGTCAAAGAAAAGATCCTCCGTCGACGTCGAGGTTGAGATCGACGACACTATCGGTTCGTCCGAACAAATGCCTCCCTTCAACGTTGCGGATTACGAGGACGGGGACCCCATTCCACGACCGATCAGAAGAAAGAAGGCAAAATCCATTGCCTCAGGTTCTGGAGGGTCCGGCTTTGTTCCCGTTGCTTCCCGCGACGATATCGGTTGGGCAATGGTTGAACAACTTTGGGTGTTCAATATTCGAGAAGAAGAGAGGATGAAGCGAAAGGAGGAGAAGGACGAGATCAAAATCATGGAAACTGACATTTCTACGTTATCAGGCTTCAAATGGATGATCTTTAGGAGAAGACAAAAGGAGATCAAGGCCAAATATTATTTACCTTAGTTTTTTTATTAATGTATCTTTTTTAATTTAATGAATGTAATTTTTTAAAATTATTTTCATTTCAATTTTTTTATATTTAATGAATGTATTTTTTTAATTATTCTTGTTTCAATATAATTAAATAATAAAATAATTAAATTTTATTAATTTAATTTCAGAAAATGTATATTTAACATGTAAAAAATGAAGGTTTGAAGCCTCAGTTTGAAACCCTGGAGCTTCAAATCCATTTCCACTGAATCTGTGAGGTAAGTTAAAGCTGACGTGGCAGAGAGAGAAATTTTAAAGCCTCGGGGCTTCACGGGTATTTCGAGTGCTCTAAGAGTTAAAAGTTACAAATTCGATAATGAAATTTGATTTTTTTATTCAATTTCTATAATTAAAAAGTTTCCAATTTTATAATAGAGTCTGATTTTATATTGAAATTCTATAAATTTTACCCTTTGTTTGGATGGATGGAATTGGGAAGGAAAGAAAATATGGGGGAGAAAACACACTTCCCAAGAAAAAATCACTTGTTTGTTTAGGAGGGAAAAGGGGAAGGGGAGAGAAAAAAGGTGAGAAACATTTTCTCCCCTCATGTGGCGAGAAAACTTGAGGGAGGGAGAGAAAAGTATTAAAATGACAATTTTATCCTTACTTTTTCTTTGTTTCATTAGCATAAATAAAAATAAAAATGTCTTTTTGTTTTATCACCTTTTCTTTCTTTTTATATTTTCACTCCACTTTCCACTCATCCAAACAACAATAATTTTCTTTCTATTTTCTCTTCATTTTTTTCCTCTCTATTTTCTTTCCATCCAATTTCTTTCCACTCATTTTCTCTTTTTATCCAAAATAATCCAAATTCCTCGAATTCACCGACAAACCCTACGTATGCTTACTCGAATTGGTTCCTACCGAGCTAATTTTCGACACCACCGTTCCAACCCATGCCACCCACACCCGAATACAGGAACTAATACGTTCCTGAAATGCAATTTTAATCCTCTCCTCAATCCCAACCCCCACCGGTTCTGAGCCAGCACCCTCGAAGAGAAAACACAAGACGAAAGAGTGCCGACAAAAATTACAAAGCCCGCCATGAACCAAATGGACTCAAGAGGAGGAGGTTGCTCTTGCTCGCTCCTACATCGACACCTCCAAAGATCTCCATATTGGTATGACTTAGTTTTGCTTTTTCGTTTATTTTATTTCCGTTTTTAAATTTTAAATTTGTTTTTTCAGGTCACCAAATCTTTACAACTCAATTTTATTCTTTTTAGGACGCAATCAAACATCGCCCAAGTTTTAGGCTTGGGTTCAAAGTCAATTTTTTGACACGATGGGTCACGGCCAATACCGCACTAACAACATGATCTCGAGTAAATGGCGAGACATGCGAGCGAAGGTTTCCAAATTATGCAGGATTTGGAACGAGGTGAATAGGCTGCGAAGGATTGGCCAAAACGACTCACAAGCTTTGGCCGAGGCATTGACCCTATACGCTCGTGAGCGTGGTGCGTTCATGAGTCTCAAGGCATGGGAAGTCATGAAAGAATCCATGAAGTGACATACCGTGCCGAGACTTCAAGTCTCAAAACAGTCAAAGACAGATTCGTCAACCGTCGTGGGTTTCGTTCATTCCTCATATAGAGTGGAAATATCTTTGAACGACTCTGATGAAGATGACGAGGAGTACACCATGCCTCCTAAACCTCGCCGCCCACCCGGCCGTAACAACCAAAGAA